TTCCGCTTCCGAAGACGTTGTCTGTTGCCTATAAAGTCAGCAATGGCGCATTGTATATCTTTTAAAGACCTGATAGGTTGGGTCATTCCATGGAAGTTTGAAACCGTTTATTGCGGATACCATTGAGTCAGCGGTGAAGTCTGCAATATGACTCCCCTGAATGAAGCAGCCCTGGTAGATGCGTTGCCAGCACGCCAGTTCCACTTGTGTCTTTGAGTTCAAGGGTTCATTTTGTAATGTATTATAAATAGAAAGCAGCACCTCTCTATCCTGTATAAGGTTTGGGAACTTTTACTCAGAATCAAATAGCGGTATCCGGCGGGACTGACCATCGTGGTAGTGGTATGATGGAGTCACATCTGATGGCGTATCCATTACCACCACCACCACTCAATTCGTTCTTCCCGTTTTCAGGGGAGTCGTTTATATTTATCAAGATGAGCACCTGTTTTTGGATATGCTCGGTGAAGTCTTCGGCAAAGGTCCAACGGCCTTCAGCACTAAACTATTGACGTACTTTTGGGGTAAATTTGCTGAGCAACTGTCTTAGGTGGTTTTATCGCGAGAGCCAGAAGAACTTTTCGGTGCGATCAAGGTATTTCTTTGAAGCGGAGGTACATGGAAGTGTAACAGATTACTCGGTAATCTACCGAACTTAACTGGTCATCAGAGTCCGCGACAGCACCTTCTTTTGAACGGAGATTGCATTCTCTAAAACCGTGAAATATCCGTTCTGTCTGAAGTTGTCTTAGACATAGTGACGTTCCGTCAATGTTCAACACAATTTCGCTTCAACTCTGACTCTATGGATGGCTCCCTCGACCATGACAAGAGAAACAAAGTCGCTCGCTATTTATAGTCTCTTCCAGCTGGTCCCTTAATAATAGCCAAAGAAATTTTGTCATTCACATTATGATCCATGCGTTGGGGGCTACCACCAATGTATCGCTGCTATCAGCTACGTGGTGGGTTAAGTATATACCATTAACCAGCACAAATTATACACGCCATGGGAGATAATGGTACGTTTTGTGTAATACAGGAGTTCCCGTTGGTTGTTGTGGAATATTCAAGGACTTGACAGTCGTCGAAACGAGACTCCAGCATCACCTAGATGATGATCATCTTGTGACGACTCATTTATACTCTTGGTACGGCGGGATCTTCCACGGAAGTAATCACTGGTTCTGGAGTCAATGATTTATCTTCTGCAGGGAGACATGTAGTAACACCAAACTATCGCCAGGGCTGTTTGCCATGGCATCAGTATATGCCTCACTAATACACCACCCAGCCAGGAAATAATTACGTAACAAGGGTCATTATCGCGAGAATTCGCGAAGACAAGACCAGGTACAAAGTGAACTACAGGGCTATGGATTTAAGTTGCTTTATTACCTTGCCAGCCTAAGGATTCTGAGTTAAGCAAATACTTAACACTCAGAGTCGGTGATGACGGCATGGCAATGCTTTCAACTCAGCATAATGGCACAGAGACTTAGCATGATGTAAAAGATCATCCAGGGATGATAGAGCCCATATTTATCCATCGGAGGAAAACTGTTCAATGTATCTGCTTCGGTAGGTGAAATCCCTGTTGGAACTTTAGGGTTTGGCACAGTGTCTTCTTCCATGTCTGATAAACAGAGATTGATGAACACCATAACAGTACAATATTTCTCTCTCTGGGGTGGGTCCACTTCACGCTACAGGCCATGCACATGTTGCAACAGTCTATACACCTACACAAAATGCTTTTCCTGTCTCCTGTGGGTCAGACACCAAAATGCACGGGTTAGGAGTTCAAAAGGTCATTAAACTCTATGGCTCCCACCAGGGTTAGGTCGGGGTCCGATCACCCACTTTGGGACTCCAAGTACCGGCTGAGCTTGGGTGCGCTGAGTGGGGTTGAGCTTCAGTCATGTCCTCCCTCTTCTTAGACCAAGGTTTCTACCTTCCCACTCAGAATCCTCTGTGTACTTGTGATAAATTGTGATAGGATAGTTTTGAGAGAAGTTGTTTTACCCGAATGTTACAGCCAGGCACAGGACAATCTTTCTACTGTTTAATCGATATGGCGATTTAACTCAAGTGGTTTCCGATTCAGCTGATAAGGAAACAACTAAGAGGGACACGTATATAGCTTAGGAGGGACGCTGGCGCGGGGACATGAGGGACAATAGAGGGACACTTGAGGGGCCCATAGGGACACGCCAGGGAGTTTTATATGGCCAGAGACACAATTTGAGGGACTACCCAGAGGGAACTGAGAGGGACACTTAGGACACGGGGGACGCTCCAGGGACACAGAGGACACTTGAGGGAGGGACACTCTGGGGACACACGTATATAGCTTGGGAGGAGGACACTTCAAGGGATTAATTCTCAGAGGGACACAGAGGGACACTTCAGGGACACAGAGGGACACCCTGAGGGACACCCTGAGGGACCTGGAGGGACACTTCAACAGGGACACATGAGGGACACTTGGAGGGACACATGGGGGACACTTCCCCAGGGACACAGAGGGACACTTCAGGGACACAGAGGGACACCCCCTTCAGGGACAATAGAGGGACCCAGCCACAAGCAGAGGAATTGAAAGCTCAGAAGACTCCAGTGAAGTAATGGATTGAGAGGTTGATTTGAAAGCAAAACCACAACCTGGACAACCGGTCCCACCTATTCAAATCCCCATTCACAGGTCCCTCCGGCCTGGTCTCACAGTGAATATGAGCATTAGTTTGGCTGGATTTAGTAGAATTTTGAAACTTGGTTGACTGATGGCTGGATAGATTGGGTTGGATAGATTGGTTTTTTGTTTGATGTTGGGAGGTATGGGTTGGTGCAGTGATGGGAATAGGCTAATATGCTTCAAGGCGGAGTGTCCAAGTTAGACTGAATGACCCGTTTGGTATAAACCATCTGGGTACTTTTTCTTTCTTCTCTATTGTAGATTTCGTTTCCTTTTTCTCCTCATTGAGATCTTGGAAGGAGTTAGTTACTATAATGGTTTTGTCTCTCTAGGGTGAAAGTACAGAAGTAGTAAGATGACTAGGAAATTGATGAGTTGGGTGTTCTTGAGATTCAAAGGAAACCCCTGGACTTTACACATACTCTTGTTTCACTTTTAGTTTCATAACTATAATTTTTGGAGCCCTTCTGAACTGAAGCTCCATAATGTAGTCGTTGTTGTATTCAGTTCATTGGTAAAGTCTGCCAAGGGAATGTCATCTCCAGTGGTAGCTTTACTTAATCATTAGGTTTAGCTACATAGATCCTGGGAATGATCAGTGTCCTTGTACAGCACTTGATGATCCAACTTCCTAGGACACTGTATAACTTCAGTCCTGCCAAGCAAGTAAGTAGATGTAATGGCCAAGAAGATGTTAGTCTTGTTATCTTCAGGGACAAAGTTAGATTTAGGAATTCCCCATATTTCCAACTGTAAAATTATCTGTCATCAGTATCTCCATGAAAGTACTGTGTATACAGTAGGATGCAATAAAGCATCTGGAAGAACTTTTTCTGCTTCTATGTCATGGATAAAATTCTGAAGTTGTTTCAACTATTTTCGACGCTGTCAAATTTTCCACAGAAACTGTTCAAGTTGATAATTGTGAGAGACATGAGTCCTGCGCGGGTTTTTCTCTATGTGATCCTTGTCCAGTTGTATACCTTCCAGCTTCTCTCTGTAGTCCGCTATGTATTTCTCCTCATTGTCATCTTCCGTTTTGCATGCACCATGCCACATCCACTGGCTTGCTGTTTTAACTTCAAGAAGGTGTTGATGTAATCCGTAAACAATCCACACTGTCCTGCTATCTCAGGGGTTGTACTGGGTTGTTTCCTGACCAGTGGTAAATCTCATACACCTTGATCACTCCTACTTATCCCTTTCTCAATGGCTTTCCCACTATTTCAGGTGTACACCAAGTTCCTAGGATGGCTCTCTCTACTCATCATCTGAATTTTCCTACAAAGGGTCTACTATTTGCTCCTCGTCAGCACACAGGTGCAAACATAAAGGAAACTCTTTAGCTTGCCTCTCGAGGATCTGATAGGG